CAATAAAAATATCGAGCCATTTAACAAAAAGACAAAAATGAAGCGTCTGGCAAAAGAAGCAGTAGCCTAAAAGAAAAAAAAAAATATTAAACAGAAAAACGTGTTTTTATTTGTAAATAAATATAATGCTTTTTTATATATTTTTCAATAATACTTTAATAGAAATAAAAACAATTACTTGTATTTTTTCTTTTATTTTAATTATTTAAAGAATTATCGAATATTTGATAAAAATAAAGTAATGTTAAAGTACTAACCACTAATACTTGATATCCGAACAGACAAATTAATACACTAAATACTAACACTTGTTCAAGTGTAATTGTGGTATACACGTTCTCAAGATTTTGATAGAAGTCGATTAATGTTTGATGATGTTGAACACATTTTTTAAATTTCTCGTAAAATTTGTGCATCTGTTTTGATAATATCGATTGTGAATTCTCGTATTCTATGTCACATAGTTTCGTAAACCTGTATCGAAGTATGCGAAATTGACCAGCCAAATGTATGGCCATTATGCAGAAAATATTATCGAAACAAAAAGTAGAGATTCCAACATAATACACACACATTGCCTAAAAAATGACAATTAATTTTCTTTATTATATAAAAAAAACAAAATCAATATAGAGAGATTTATTTAATATTATTCAAAAATTACTTATATAAAATATTGATAATATTGATTAAGAAATAAATCATAGTTATTTTTATTAATATTATTATTATAAAAGAAAAATTTATTATTTACTTTTTAAAAAAGAAATATACTAGGTTTTTTAATAGAAAAAATTTTATTTATTTATGTATAAAAATTTATAGTAAAATTTAAAATATTTATTTTTTTATTATAAAAGAAAATATTATAGAAATTTTAATTATTTTTTTTTAATTTTCTTTTTAATTTTAATTGAAATTTATTGATAATTAAAACAATAATAATATAAATTTAAATTACTTGTATAAGAAATATTATTTCGTAATAAGGCGTCTTTGATACTGGTAAATTTATCCACATATTGAACGGAAGCATTCTTTCGGATTCATTTTTTCCATTTTGTACTGTAACAAATATAAAAACTGTTTGCTTTTTTTTGTAGGATGGAAAAATCAATTCTAGAGACTAAAACAAATATAAAAGTTGATTTATAAAAAATTTCTAAATTTGAGACTTATTTATTATATTGTAAGTAATTTAAATTTCTATTGATTTAAAATGAAAAAAAGAGCAAGATGTTGACGACAAAGATAGAGGAGATTAATTTTAATGTTTGCTTTGTTGCAAGTTTTAATTCCTTATAATAATAAATGAGCATTCGACGTTTTTGGATATTAACTTTTATATTTGTTTCTCTAGGATCTATCTTGCAAAGATGTCCCTTGAATATAATATTCTATGTATATTAAATATAAAATATATAAAAATTAAAGTACATTAAGCATAAATAAATTTTAATTAAAAATAATTATAAAGAAGTTTAATTCAAATTTTTTCAAATTTGCTATTATTTTCTGTTGTCAAATTTCATACAATTTTAAAGTATATAATTTTTAGTTTATCATAAAAATAACAATATAATAAATTTATTTTATTTGTATAGTAAAGATTAATAAACTTTGCAATTTTGTTTTTTAATTTCATTGTATTGTTTTTTAATTTAATGAAAATTGTTTAATAAAAAAAATATAATGATAAATATACTATATTTATGTTTGTCTATTTTGGAATATATAAAATTTATTAATCAAGTCAATATTTAATAATTTTAATTAATAATTTTAATTAATAACTTACCAATGAATGGTATCATTAGATAACATATCATGGCACATATAGCCATGGTGGTAACAGAAGAGATGAAAAAAGTGCAAGTTTTTCTGCAATCATCTAAAATTTTTTTCTCACGATGATCGTAGTTAAGATTCCAAAAGTTTTGTTGCATGTACACAATTAGATTTAAAAACTTTTTCTTATACATTAATATGATGCATATTTTGGCCAAACCCATTATCATAGTTATGTTATTCGTTGTGGCATAAAGAATGTCCTAGAATGAGTTGATTTTAAATGAGTAAATAATATAAAATAATATAAATTATAAAATATATTTAAAATAAATTATTAAAACAATTTAAATATTTCTTTTTTTATTCGTACTCATATTTTCGTTAAAATCTTTTTAAAATAATAATCATTACTATTATTCAAAATCCATTAATAATTTTTTAACAAAATTTCATTTCCAAATCTTTGATATTAAAAAACTAAAAACGAAAGATTTGGTTTAAGATTCTAATAAATTCCAATCATTTCTTCATTCTTAAATTTTTAAAAAATTAAAATTCTTTACATAATAATCTAAAATTTCTCAAATTTCGTTCATTTAAAAGTTATGAACATACTCACGCCGTTGTACAACAATGTGAAATACAAATCTCTGCCATTAATGATTATACCAGACAACAAGATCGAAGTTGTGTAGCCGAGCAACATCTTCATCCAACGTTGTTCACTAGGATTATCAGATATCCAGACTCCAACATTCTTTAAGAAAAATGTCGACAAATTCATCGATATATCTAACTGCCTTTCCGTTTGCATGATGACTGATCATACATCGTCCCACGCGTAATATTAAACGAGTATAAACCACAATAATAATTAATAATTTAATAGGAATTGGTGACTTGTCTATTCCTTTTATTTTCATCGTTCTTGCATGCGTTTTGTATTTGCCTCAATTCTTGTTCCTTTCTTTTCGACGAAAACATCCCAAATGATACGGAGTCAAGAGAAATGATTGTCACACTTTATGTTGTATTATTAATGGGACACGTAACATGAATTATAGCGTTGTAGATTATACTTGAAACTTTTTGATTATGAACTATGTGTATGATAGTAAGGCGTTAGATATTATTCGGATTTTATAAAAAGATAATAGTGAAATGGAGTATTGTTGCTGCAAAGTGGAAGAAAATACAAAGAGGATAGAAAGAGTAAATGTAGAAATTATTATTTCGTATCTGGTGGAAAAGAATCGTAAGTAAAAGTCTGGATAATTATATTTTTGTATTTTATTGAAAAAGCAATATGAAATATTTATTATGTCTTTTTATTAGTTATTAAATATAATTATCTATTTAAATTTATATTCATAATGATTTGATATTTAATTAAATAAAATAAATAAAAGTTTAATAGTTAATAAATAAATTTTGTTTATTTCTGGAAGAAATTATAAAATATTGATTTATTAAAAAATTCTTTGATTGAAATAAATTGGATCTTTATCTGTAATTGATTCATTGATTAATTATACATATTTTTGTTTGGTATTTTTTGGATACTTAACATAATAGGATATTTTTTATTTATATTCTTTATTTAAAAAAAATATATATTTACATACAAGTCTACAATTTAATAATGATTATTTATTATTTCAAAAAATTATCCTTTTATCTTTATTCCTTTATTAATGGAATATACAATATTTAATCTGAAACTGTTTGTTAATGAATCGTTGGAAATTTATGAGCTATTTTCTATGCGATTACTCAGTAATGTGAAATACGATAATGCTGTACTCAAAATCTGTAATATGTAAAAAAAAAAAAAA